GGTATTCAGGGATAACAACAGGAGGCAAGCAGAAGCTGCAGCATCACCCCCCTGCCCTGACAGGAAAAAGCAGCACTAAGTACTGTCTTGACAATGAAGGCAGTTATTCTTTGTATGTAAGCTAGAAGCATGCAAGCAAACTCAAAAATTATTGTTTTAATAGCAACAATGTATATACGCACTGTTTAACCTATAAAGACATCTGAATAGCTTAAAAACATACCTTTGAAGGTAACCACCTCGCCAGTCTGAGCTTTAGGAAGGCCTTTTTGACAGGCATCAGTGGTTAAAGCTAGTGTTACTCCACAGCTGCCCAAAAGAAATCCAGTCTGCTGGCTGCCAGCATCCTACAGAGAAATCATATTATAGCAAACTTACAAATTATTAAGTTTTTGTACAGTTTACTGTAACTTTTCCATGTTTAGAAAGTATCAAGTCAATCTATATCACAGGAAAAAACAAACTTCTAGCACATAAGATCTTTTATGGAAGACAAAAAGATCTATGTCTCTGCTCAAAAGGCTTAGTTATGCTTAGCGCCAACTAAGTTAGATCTGGCAAGCAGCGATAGCGAAGTAATGTCAAAAGCAATTGTGCATCTCTCTCCAACCCAACAGGGACATTTATATGTTCTGGTAAAACAGAGAGCTGGTCTGATGCCGCTTCTGAGTCCTGAGGCACTGAAGAGCAGAGCCTGCAGCTTTTCAGCTCTGATTTCACACTTTCCCTAATAACCTCAATGTGTTGGGGGATTATCCTGATATTTCCAGTAACTATGGAGTCTCTATCTGCCTATGCTTTTATCACTCAGCACGAGAGCCGAAAAGACAGCTTTCCTGTGTTATAAGAAATACTCTAACATCTTTTCAAAAATAATTAAAATAATTTCTACAGTTACGTATCCTAAAAAAGTCAACTTATTAGCTTCATACTATTCCCTCCCCGTTCCTTCCAAAATATTAAACCACTTTCCAAACACACAATGTGCACTGAGCAGTTCAGCTTGTGCACCACACTGCTTTCAAAAGCGCAGGCTCTGAGAGATCCCACATAAGGACTATGGGATTCAGACACCCCCTCCCACTTTATTTATTTACAAAACTATAAAAATGTTGAATGTATTTGCCTACCTTTCTTGTTAGTGGAACTTCTATTGGGACAGGAATAAGTTCCGCCACGAGACATCCATAAAATGCCACCATAAACATAACTGGATCACTATTAGGAAATACAAGAGCTACCTACAAAAATACATCAAAATAATAAGAAATGGTTTTTGTTGGTTTTTGTGGGAGGAGGGCTGCTTTTTAATTTGTGGAAAAAATCATCACAACAATGTTCAGGTTCTTATTTAAACTAGGAACAGAAATACTACATGTTATGATAATCTACTACTACAAGTCAGAGTATTACAAGGCTTTCTTTAGCTAAAGCTGTTCCTCACTGTATATTTGATCCATAGCAACTATTTCAAACAGAAGCCTACCCGGTCTCCACGCTTCAGCAGTGGTTCATTCTTAGTGGTTAGCTTGTTTAGTAGGGTATACGCTAACTTCAAGCTTCGACTCCACAGCTTGCCTAAAGAAAAAAAAGACAATACAGAAATTTAAAAAATAGAGACTAAAATTTTAACACTTAATTGGCAAATCTCAGTGTCTTATCTATGCACTAGGCAAGTCGGTTGTATTAGAAGAGGGTCCACAGGCACACAAGCAAGTAACTGGGGCAAAGCCAACATTGCCATTGTGAATGCACTGCTGCCTCAGAAACCTACCGAGTTCTTTCAACATTTCAGTGCACGTGCACACACACATACACACACAGTCTGGTTGTGACAACCTAACTGCATTTCCAAAAGGCACTTACCAAGACTCCTTTCTAAGGCTCTTAGAGAAAGCAAACTGCTTGAGATAAAAAGAAAAACGCTAAATGGCACAAAAAATTAACTGAAGTTTAAGAAACAAAGGGTAGGAGTAAATGCCACAATATCTGGCTCTGTGAAATGCCAGTTCAGTGCTCAGTAGTGATCTACACAGCTCTCAATTCAGAACAAAAAATTATTCAAAGCTATTAAATATAAAGACAACAATCTAACTACTTATTTGATACAATATAAAAATCAATTTTTAATTTGTAGCCTCAAAAAAAAAAAACCCAAAAAAGAGCTTTGCTAAAGAAACTGTTTATAAAGAATCAAGCAACAGCAAAACCTTCCCACTGTAAATATAAATCAAAGCAAGAATCCCCCAAAGCAGCAAGTTGTGGCAAACAGCATGCCTCTGGAACTCAACTTTCTACTACAGGGTCTTCATCATGGACTCGCATCTACACTCAATCCCTTCAGACCATGTAGCAACCACCAGCTATTTTGTGTTTCTCAGTCTCAAACTTCGTCAATTCAACAGGTTTTTTTCTGTGTAATTTCCAGTTATATATAAAAAAAAGTTAAACAGGATTCACGTACGTCAAATGGCCACTTCTTCACAGAACTGGCAATTCAGTGCAGTTAGCAGAGAGTCCAAGTACAATTTAGAGCTTGGCTTCTTTTTATTTTTTTCTTTTTTTTTTTTTTTTTTAAACTTAAACCTAAGTTCATGTTCACATTCTAAACAATTGATGATATTCTAAACAATTCTCAAAGCTCCACTGCAAAGTAATGAAACTAATGCAGCTGCTCAATTACATTTCCTGTAAGCATACTTAATCTGTAAGAATATAAACAAGAAATTTTAACATTCTAACACACTGTACAATGAAACGTTGCAGTTAGCTGTCCTGATGGACACAATTATCTTTCAAAAAAAATACAATTACTGTAACGCTTCTAATGTCATGGAATCAGGCATGGTTCACTTCCCACAACAACATCCTTAACGCGCTCCTGAAGTACAAATCTTCTCTATAAGGCTATGCAAGAACATGCTAAAATTTTGTATCTACTCTCGGCATCTGAAGAGTGCATGATTCGGCATCTGCTTCTTCCTCTCATTTTACACAGGCTGTTTCTAGTGTTCTTTTAAGAACAAAATCCCACCATTGTTTGAGATTTACAAACAGCCACTTGTAAAGAATCAGTACCATGTACATTCTGCCTTCATTTACTTTCTTTAAAACGTTTTTCATATACAATGAATTCATAATTTGCATTCAAACAGCAATTTCCAAGTACCTGTCATGAGCACAGTCAGTCCCTCTTAAGTAAAGCAAATTGTTCATTCCACAGTGAATGCCTAATTCTTCCTTGCAGTTATCACCAACACCTACCGTAGGTGAGCGTATATACAGCTTTCCCAGCTGTGTCCAACGCCGTCAGACAAGGGGCTTTCGGCTGGGTAGTCCCCCAGCGCTGCAGGGCAGCCAGGAGAGAAGGTGGCCAGTTGGTTACCACACCTAAGGGTTCACCTTTAAGTACATTAATTTGATTTCCTTCAGGCTTTGGTTGATTTGGGTCAGGCTGTTGCACTAAAACCAGAGCACAGCACAATGTCAATCCTTGGAAGACACGCAAATTACACTTAATACACTATTCTACAAACTGTTCTCACCTTCCTCTTCCTCACAGCTATCATTACTTCTCCTCTGCTTTATGGTGATACTATGCTAATCATCTCTTGGCTTCACAAAAAAAATAATTACCAGCACTTGAGAGTTCTGATTCTATGCTGTTCAAAGGACCTGGCCACAGTAACAGAATTTGAACCCCTAGTTTACTCTTTCTCTACTTTGGAAAGATGGTATTTTCTGCTGTTTGTTCTGCACATCTATTTAAATGAAAGCCTACACCAAGTCAAGAAGCATTAGATAGAACGGCTTCAGTGACAATTGGACATTCATTTTTTCTGCACCAGATTTTCAACAGGTGATGAAGAAAGAATGACACTGTGCTTCTATTGTTATAAAACTCCCAAACAGATGAAATGCTCCTGCTATGGATTATCTATAACTAAAACTGTACTGCTCGCAGAATATTTTGTTTGATTTCCAGATCATCTCTCTCAATGGTGCAACATTGCAGGGTTTCTACGCTATTTTCTCTCGGAGTAGCCTGCTGCTAAAATCCTGCTCCAAGCTGCTCAAGAAGGTGAAGTATCTTCATCTTAGTTAGCAAAACAACATCACACTTCGATTTAGCTAACACTCAATCTATGCAATAACTAAAATTAACAGTTCAAAGTGATGCCAAAGTACATGCACCTCAACAGAAGTTTGCCTGAAAAATCTTCAGAGAAAAGACTAGAAGCACAATGACTTCATAGCTTAAAGTATCAAACAAATACTACAGGGAATCTAGTAGCAGCTGCTCAAAAACGTCACATTGAGAACAAAATTTTCATTTAATCTTTAAGCCTAAGAGAACAGAACAAAAATCATTCTCCAAGATCAGCTGATGCAGCTGGTTTTAAAGGCAGCTAATTTCTACACTTCTTAGAGACGCTTTTCTTTCTGCCTAGACATGCACAGAGGAGAAAACAGTGGGTTTTAGCTGAGCAGTATGTGCAGAGCATGTACAAGCACTACTCTCAGGTAGTGCACAGGTTAAGACATATTGCACAGTGCACTCAATGCACTTAATTCCTCTGAACCTCTAAAATAATGAAAGTTTCTGCATTTCAAGAAGAGGATATTAACATGCACGCAAACTATTATCATAATAAATTCCAGTTACTAGCAAGTAACTTCTTTCATCTAACTATATTTGGGCACTGACGAGCTACAAAGTAGCTTTTCAGAGCAGGATGTGGGGTTGTTTGTGGACAAGCAACTGAGTAAGAGTCGCCAGAGAGGCCATGAAATCTCCATGTTTGGAGATCCTCAGAACTGGACACGGCCTTGAGCAGCCTGATCTAGTCAGACCTGCTTTGTACAGCCTGGTCAGAGGCTTCCAGAAGTCCACTGCACCATCAGAGTTAGGCTATGCCCTGACTTTTTGGAGTACTCCAAAGAGTACCCTCAACAAATTCAGATTACCACAGGGCAGATTTTAGAATCTCTGAGGCAAAAAGTGACAGTGGAGACAATTTCTAGATGCACCAATGAATTTCTTGACAAAGATGTGAATAGAATATCTCCAAGTATCTATAAATCACCGTTTTTAGTATTCACTAGCTCATCATGCTGGTCCAAACTGGGCTGAATCAGAAAAGCTTCCAAAGTGAGGGAGGAGGGGAGAACAAAGACACTGAGTAGGAGGGCTGAGCTGAAGATTATGTTTCACTTGTGATAGCATATGACCTTTCTCTCTCCAATATAACAACTCTATCAAGATTTGCTTTCTATTGGGAAGAGAAAAAGAAAACACCACTTGCTAAGAAGTATCAGTTTCTTTGTGAACTGCTTACACAGAGTGAAAATGTATTTGTAAGAAAATTAACCTTCTAGCAGTTCTTCAAAATCATCAACGAAAAACTCTTTCAAAGGTGGGCGCTTTGGTCTTTTCAAGGTATTTAGAAGCTGCTGGATTTTAGAGGACACTCTGCTATTCACTGGGACACCTGCCAAACAGAAAAGATTTATTACTTGCCATATATTAATAAACATACACTAAAACACATGCTGCCACATTGCTGACAACATCACACTAAGCTCAGCGTAGCTTTCAGGTGGAAGAATCAGTCAAGATGAGCAGCTTGCTTGGAAAAAAAACAGCTTTAATCAGTTCAGTTTCAACCATGGATTTATTTGTTTTAAAACAATGCTGTTCCCCAGTTACCTGGCTGAGGCATGTACCTTCTCACACTTTAATTTAGCTTTTGAAACTGCTGATTCCTTTGTGAGATTCCAATACAAACCTAAAGAATGTTCTTTTATGTAAGAGTCTCGGTATTTGCTAAATCTTAACATTCATTCAGTTCCAAAAGTGTGAGAATGCTTGGAAAAAATAAGTGAATCTTTCAGTATTTTACAGGGCTAGCAAAAAATAATCACAGCACAAAACCATGTTGAATGCTGATTTTCATTTGTATATGTGATATATTTATTTAAGTTAAATATAAACGTGTATGTTTGCTTCTGTTTATTGAAATGTTAAGCTCTGAGGCAATATAAAATTAAAATGTGAGACTAAAGGGCTTACATTGCCTTTTACTACAGAAATGGATAGAAATGGGGACATGGCTCCCACCAGCAGAATACGAGAAATGCAGTATAATTTCCTCTCCTGTGGTAGACTGACAGATATACCAGACTACTGCAAAGCTTTGGAGGCAGGCAGGCACGTGGCACATGATGGGTGTAGAGCTCTGTTATGCATTCGCTTCTTCAGAAAAAGGAACCTAGATTGAAAGGCAGGAGGTTTATAACACAATCACCGTCTGCGGTTTCCAAAATGCTGCTGTTGTAGCCTCTGGGAACTCCTCGTACTGATGCTACCTGTGGACGCTCGTGATGTAAATGTTCCACCAGGCCAGTGGTTACATCTGGAGGTGCAGAGTGGTTATCTGTAGAAATGGAAGACAGACATGGGAGCTCATCAGTCATCTTAAGAATCAGTACATCCAAAGTTGCTTCTTACAGCACTCTTGCTGTTTTCTCATGTATTTTTAACAAAACTCCGAATTCTCTAATCGAACCGTAACGAAAATCTTCCAGAGGGGGAATCCTGAATGGAACCATCATGTGCTCCTCCAGGGTGGAGAGGAGCTATTCCAACTTTCAAACGGATCCAAACAAATTCTGACAAATAAAGCGAGTGGTGGGTCACTCCATCACTTCAAGGTGAAAGCAAGGAGATTTATTACGAGTAAACAGCAAAAGTCTACAAAGAAACCCTGTCTTGCATCTCTCAGAAGAGAGACAGGCACCCAAAGTCTCACCACAACACTGAAATGACTGGTCTAAGTCCCATAGGAAAAGAAAGGGACAAAAGCATAAGCTTTAAAAGAAGGGAGTTCTTGCCCCAGGATAACACGAAGCACTTAACAGTCTCTCCAGCAATACTGTAGGCAAAAGCCTCCTGTTTACATTGTGGTCCAGACACAGCATACTCTTCACTGGGGCATCTATCAATAAGAACAGATGGAATGCCTGTAACACTCAAAAAACTCTGTGGTGTAGATGTCAACATTTCACACACATACTACTCACAACCGGTAAATTTAGCACAGGCTTTTCTGAGGCATGAGGTGGTCATTTGTGGCCAGACATGACACGCTGTTTCATTTTAATGTTGTGTGCTACAAGCAATAAATACTAAAATGTTCTACAGTGTACATTTACATAGGGAAAGCAGGGCATCTCTCAATCCTCACAAACTCAAAGGGGCTTGAGAATCACCTTATAACAATCTTGAGACAAACAAAAGTCTGCTTTGCTTGGAACTGCACCATGTTTCATCATGTGCTGCAGAACCATGCCTAGGGAATACTGTCATTCCAAAATCGTGACCTAGATTATGGAACAGTTTTGAATGGAATCATAGGCTGGGAAATGGCAGTATCTCGCAGAAGTGTTCAAATAAGGAAAAACAAGAATTGGAGACCATAAAAATACGATTGCAACAGGAAAGAGCTTAAGAATACCCTGCTGCACTGTGCTGGAGGAGCTGCTCCGGGTCATGTAGCTCTGCAGTGATACCCCTTGAAGGACCTCAGCATGCCACAAATCGTGCAGAAAGAACTCTAAGCACAGGGAGATCTAGGCAGTGCTGTGAAGTACATATATTACCTCACTCATTTTGAGGAAGCTATCAGCACTAAGCTAACAAGTGTTCATAGCTCGGTTCACAGATTTCCAAGGCTGACATACAAGCCACCAGTACAGCTTTAAGCAGTTTTAGAGGTATCACCAGAAGAAAAATTAAATCCATTCTCATATTTTCCAATGGTCATCGTTGCAATGCCAATTTTTGTATTGCAGAGACCTGTCTTGCTGGTACTAAGCAAGGACCACAAATTCCTTTTATGTGGGTAAGGTACAAGAAACACTAACTATCACTTAATGTCTCTGACAAATGCCGGAGATAGAACCAGCAACAAGAAAAGGTGACAACTATGTGCAAAATTGATCCTATAACCACTTCACAGGGAGTACAGAAAGTCGATGTATCCAGAGTAAACTGAAACGATCTCACTGTGTTCTATAGAACTTTTTGACTTGGTTTTTTTTCCTTACCAAAGTCCCAAAACACGGGCTTCATGCAGCACACCAATTATTCACAGAAAAGGACACAGAGTTAAATGTATGTGGTTCTCGCACTGCAGTATTAGCCCACAAGTCCATACTTCTCAGCTTACAGACCCCGCAGCGATTATCGATGTCTAAAGCTTCCACTCTTTAAACACACCAGGCAAGAACTACAGTTAGGGATGTACCTGCAGTGTGGCTTCATCAGTGGAAGGCCCCAAAATGGCATTCCTACAGATGAAGCTGTCACCACTAAACATTAAGGTAACTCAAAATGTACACTCAAAGTGATGTACACATAGGTACAGATGTAACAATGAGAGAGAGGACAAGAGAGACTGACACACACTATAAGACTTGGTGCACACAGGGATCAGAAGGCATGCATAAAGTACAGAAGCTGAACTGCTGAATGGGTACAGGTTTTACCACGCACACTTCTGTTGGGAAAATGCTATTTTCAGCCCACATGCATGAGCCAGATATTTGAAATATAAAAGCTCTGCAATTAGATGCTCAGAAAATAACATAAGGAAGAAGCCGTTTGGGAACATGTACAGAGGAGCTGTGTACTTAGGAACAGCTCAAAAAAAAAAAAATCACACAAAAAATGAGAATGCTCAGAAAATAAACAAAAAAACATCCTTAACAATCATCCCCAACTGAGCCACAGCAGTTCAGAACACCTACTCTTATAACCCTGCTTCCCTTTAAGAAAACGAATTGTCCTTTTAAGTCTTTCACTAAATAGTGGGCCAAATACAATGATAACCCATCTTTCCAGATACTCTAACAAGAGATAAATTGGGAAATATCACACAGTTGAGATGGTGACCCTGAAAAAAAAAAAAAAAACCTACACACACTGCTAGCCTTAGTAAATTTAAAGAAAAAAAATACACTAAAGAAAAGCCCCCTAAACAACATGTAGATTAACATATGAATGACAAACAGCTTTAAAATAATGCATATTCCTATTTGAATTTATTAACTACTGTAACCTTGCACTTCCAACACTGCAGTCTATTGCTTGAGAATTTAGGATGACCTCATCATTAAAAATGCAAGCTGGAGAACATGAGCTGGAAGGGAACAATCTGCTAAATTTTAATTCTCCAACATACCAGAATTGTGAATAGTTATTCAGTATACAGTCAAAACACAGAATATTTTAGTAAGGCATAGTATTTAAAATATGTAAGATGCCTTTATATTGCTGATGTCAGCACATTAACTGAGAAATCAAACTCTTCCTTTATGCTCCAGGACAGATCAAAGGGGTCCTTTTTGAAAGTATACTAGTATTTATCAATATTTTTATTATTTATCAATAATTTTAATATTTAATATTTTAATATTTATCAATAATCAAAAAAGTTTGCAATATGAGAACTGAGTAAGTTTTCATATTCTTGTGAGCAAGGAAGACTATAGAAAAACACAAAAAATGTCACAAGTGAATTGTTATTGGACATGCATGAATGTTACCAAGCTAGAAATGAAAGATCAATAGAATGTGGCAAGCATTTCAGAAATTAAGAAGATTATTCTTATGCAAAAGGCCATTTAATTTTTTGTCAAATGCACTGGAAATTGTACCTTTCTAAATATTTCTAGTAGATCAGCTCTTAATTATCCACGAACTTCCTTCGCTATAATTCCGTATTTATTTCCCATTAACGAAATTTCAACCCCCTCCACTGCATACAGTGTAACATTTAGCTGCTTAAATCCTGGACTTTGAACTGAAGGCCTTGATTTTGCATACAATTTAGATGATTAAATTGTCCTGATGGATAGGTCTTCAGATGCTAGTTGTGAAATTTGATATGCATTTATATGGCCTTAGATACTAGACACAACAGGATGCTGTGTTACGTTTGGCATATATTGCAAGTTTTTACATCTATATTAAGAATTTCATCAATCACACTTACAATTCTGGATAACCTTCCAAGTTTATTTGTTAATTTTAAGTTTAACCATGATTCCTATAAATCCATAATGTAAAATCCAGAATGCCCTCAAATATTCCATCTTACTTAGATCCACTAAGTGCAAAAAAAACCATCTGCCAATTTCTCATTATAAATAAGCTTGGAAATGGGAAGATGAAAATTTAGATTTCCTTGAAGGCAATAAGATGGGTAAGTTTTGGATAAACAGGAAAAATTTAACAATAATTAAATATTATTTATTTATTGTTAATAATAAATTATTATTTACCATATATAAATAAGACCACAGAAGTTAACTGAAGAGGCAAATCTTTCTAACTACTTTTATGGATGTAATACTGGCAAAGTGCAGAAAAATGAAAAAAGCCAAATGCTGCCCATAACTTTGAAAGACACAAACCAAAAACCAGCATTTCAGCAAGCAGGAGCTTTCTAGGGCAACAGCACTAAACAGGCTTGGGGAAAAATGTTTTGCCTTGTAAAAGCTTAGATACCAGAATTCCGCTCCATACTTAGCTTACACAATAAAGAGATGGCCATACAAAACAGGAGGGAGCAAAAAGCAAGTAGGAAAGACACAGATATCCCTCCCCAGGCTCTCCGACATCTAGAGAGCCTTCCAGAACACAAAGCAAGCTACTACCTCTTTCCATCTCAGCTCCACTTGCAGAAAACTGCCTGTGCGGTGAACCCTGGGATGTCAGTCATGGCAAAAATGAGTCAATCCCTGTTTCTGTCAGCACCTAAGCCACAAAGAAGATCC